GATCATAATCCTTTAACATCGCTTCATCAATATAGAACACCCAATTTTTATTAAGTTATCTCACTAGCTAGGAATTTGGCCATTTGACAAAATGTTTGTTTTCTTTATGTAGATTTGATGTGTAAGGATGGCACTGTTATTCAACATTGAATGCTGATTTTTGGAACTATTTTTGCAGAAATACTGAGGTGAAACTGTAAAATGGCAGATGCTGCTCTCCTTCTGGTCACAAAAAAAATTGGAAAAGCGGTGGCAGCAGAAACACTTAGCTATGCTAGACCATTGCTTGAAAAGAAATCTAGATCTATTAAAGCAGTGCCAGATAAGATGATACTCATAAAGAATGATCTTGAGCTTATCCGAGCATATCTCAAGGAAGTTGACAGGAAAGGTTGCACGGATCTAGTCACTGAAACATGGATAGGGCAAGCCCGAAAATTGGCTTATGATATGGAAGACATTGTGGATCAGTTTACTTATGTGGTTGGTAAACACCATCTAGATGGAGCATGGTGGAGTTTTTTCACTAAATGTCAGGACCCATTTACACTTGATGAAATCGCTGCTGCAGTTAGGAGAATAAATAGGGAACTGAAACGGCTTAAAGAATGCAGAGACTGGACTCAACCAGTTGCTGGAGGGAGTGATGTTCCTGCAAAAGATTATGCCACCCAACAACAAATGTATCTTCCTGGACATGGTTACTCAATTTCTGATGAAGAACTTATAGGACTTGATAGAAATAGAGAAATCTTGGTGAGGTTAATGAATTTGAATAAATGTTCTCATCTGCAGATCATTGCTGTGTGTGGTATGGGTGGAATTGGGAAAAGCACTCTTGTCAACAATGTGTTCAGAAAGGAAGCATCCAAATTTGAATGCCATGCATGGGTTTCTGTCTCTCAGTCATACAATATATATGATATTTGGAGAAGCATGCTAAAAGAAATATATTCTAAAGAGAAGAAAGAATTTGATGCTGAAAACATGACCGGTGCAGAGTTGCAAATGGAATTGAAGAAAATCCTAGAGACAAAGAGATACTTGATAATATTGGATGATGTCTGGACAGCTGAAGTTTTTAGAGAACTTAAAGAGGTTCTTGTTGATACAGGGATGGGAAGCAGAGTAGTAATCACAACAAGAATTGAGGAAGTAGCTTCAGTAGCTGATGATAGCTACAAGATCAAAGTTGAGCCTCTTGAGGAGGAGGAGGCATGGCGTTTGTTTCGCCGGAAGGCATTTCCAAGAACTGAAAATCACATTTGCCCATTAGTGTTAGAAGAGTGTGGTAAATCGATAGTGGAGAAGTGTGATGGTTTACCATTAGCTCTTGTGGCCATAGGGAGCACATTGTCTCATAAGGCGCAAGATGTTGCAGAGTGGAGGCGATTTTATAATCAGCTTATCTGGGAGCTACACAACAATGGCGACCTGAATCGTGTGGTGAAAATTCTGAATCTAAGCTACAAATACTTGCCAGACCATCTGAAGAGTTGTTTCTTGTATTGTGCCATGTTCCCAGAAGACCACATGATTCATAGAAAAAGATTGATTAGATTGTGGGTCGCCGAAGGATTTATTGAACAAATTGGAGCATGCAGTTTAGAAGATGTTGCTGAAGGTTTCCTGACAGAGCTCGTTCGACGAAGCATGCTTCATGTGGTAGAGAGGAACAGTTTTAACAGGATCAAGTGTGTTCGAATGCACGATCTTGTGCGTGAATTAGCCATTTTCCAATCCAGGAGAGAGAGTTTCGGTACGACTTATGATGATAGTCATGGGGTGATGCAGGTGGAGTCGGATTCTCGTCGCATGTCAGTGCTCCAATGCAAAAATGACATTCAACCAAGCACAGGTCAATGCAGGCTTCGTACCTTCATAGCATTCAGCAGTAACATGGCATCGTCTTCATTGTTTCCATCAGAATCTAAGTACCTTGCTGTGTTGGAGCTAGCAGGATTACCTATTGAGACAATTCCAAATTCAGCTGGGGACTTATTCAACCTTAGGTATTTGGGCCTTGACAAAACCAATGTGAAGGTACTCCCAAATTCTGTTGTGAAGCTTCACAACTTAGAAACATTGAGTCTTCAAGATACAGAATGTCTGCATCTCCCTCGAGGGTCTGAAAAGCTGAAGAAATTGCGGCACATTTGGATGTATAAATTGCTAGATAGTACATTCTCTATTTTCAGAAGTATTGGACCTATGGAACCTTTTGAGGGATTGTGGAGTTTGAAGAACTTGCAAACTCTGAAGCCAGTTTGTGCTAGTGAAGTTTCCGTCACAAAACTAGCAAATTTATCTCAGTTAAGGACCCTTAGCATTATTGGGGTAAGGAGCATCCACTGTGCACAACTCTGTGCATCGTTATCAATGATGCACCAGCTCTCACTATTAGAAATAAAAGCCAGCAATGAAGATGATGTGCTCCAGCTTGAAACATTAACATTGTCAAACCGCCTTAAAAAGCTCTTTTTATCAGGGCGCTTTTCCGAAGGAACATTGGAATCTCCATTTTTCTCAACCAACGGAGATGCCCTTCACAAGATATCTCTACGTTGGTCCCAGCTTGCGGTGAACCCATTACAGCGCCTCTCTGAATTTTCAAATTTGACCGAAATATGTCTTGCAAGGGCGTATACTGGACAGGAGCTAACTTTTGATGCAGAGGGGTTCCCAAATGTGAAGATTATTCAGTTGTATGATATGCCAGATGTGAACCAAATATGCATACACGAGGGAGCTTTGGTTCGCCTTGAAGAACTTTTGATCAGAAACCTTGCCGAACTGCGGGACATCCCTGGGCTGGGACATCTGAAATCCCTCAAAGAGGCATGGTTTTATGATATGCATCCTTGTTTCATAAGTAATCTTGAAGCGGCCAGACTAGATCATATCCCGATAACCTTCTACAGGACAATACGGTAATTCAACCATCCTAGCCAACTTATTATGCTCTCACTCTTCATGCAATTCAGCGTGTGCTCGATCGGCCTGCACCAAATTCTAGCTTTTTCAGTTGATAAAATCCCCATTTGTTGCAGCTCTGGAGTGGCATGAGCCTTTCTTGTGTGGATGGGGTTTGAAGTCATTGTAATCGGTCAGTGACAACTGCCGCCCATCTTGCTGTTATCTTTTCTGCTTATTCAAACAAGAACAACTGGTTTGTAATAAGGCAGAGGAATGATTTCTATTGCAGCCATCCACCTTGGCTTTACAGTATTTATGCTTAGTGATGCTAAGCTACTGCTTGAGATACTTACTATGTATTTTTACACAGTGCTTCATGTAATAATGTTGAAAACATCAGCTACTTGCTCAACACATGTTTAAGAGAAAACAATCCTTATTTGCCACTAAATGCTACGCCCCAGTGCCAAGAAATCTGAACTTTTTGCTCATCCTCTGGGGCTGCTGAAGTTCAGAACTTCACATTTCAGTTTTGTGTAGCTCTTGGCCTGGGAAATAAATGCTTTATGACATCTAACTTATGCAGTATCATTACATTCATATTGTCTATTTATTTTGCTGAACTGCTGTTGCAGATTGGTGCACTGTGTTTTAGAATGGCATGTACTGGTGTTAGATATGTTTCATTCATACGAGAAAGAAAAGACAGTTGAAAGTGTTTAAAAAAAATCAGAGGAGGCAGCTGCTTATCATTGAAACCTGTTTTTATCAGTTGGCTATAAGGTCATTTAGGTACTTAGAATGCTAATATGAAAGTTACATCAATAGCTTTTTTCACAGAGCCGTACTGGGCCTCACATATGCTAGATCCTGGAAGAGTTACCCTTTTATTCGATCAGGTGAAAGGCATTGCAATAGTTGTTCGAATGGTCTAGTGGTTGGCTTGCAATGGCGCATCCTTACTAACCAGGGTAGTCCGAATCCTATCATGAGCGGGTAGGATCTATCTTATTTAAATTCAAACGGCGCTCCTTCCGCATTGGACCATTCTATATGAAATGCATGGGTGTGAATAACTCTGAAATTTGGTTTACATTGGAAACTCTTGTTGCCTGTTGGTTCACGTGAGTACACTTCATGACAACCTGGTTGCGATGTCTCTGCGTGGTGAAATTTCAAAGATAAAATGTGCTTTTTTGGCGTCTTGTTCTCCACGGTCTGTTTCTGTGGCAAAAATTCTAATTTGTGTCATAGGCTCATAAGATATCTGTGCTGATTCAGACATGCAGCATAAAACCTTCAAGAAAATTCTTGGATATTTTTTAAGAAAAAAGGGGGAAATGGTGCTGCACTTGAGTAAAACAGATCAGTAAAACAAGCAAATTCTTCCTGAAACATCCTCCAGCCCGGCGTCGCCCTCCTCATACGACACAGGGGGGAACCCTAGCCGCCACAGCCGCGTACAACCCCCGCCGCCGCCTACTCCCGCATCGCTGCCGCCGCCTCATATCCTCCAGCCTGGCGTCGCCCTCCTCTGGTGACACCGGGGAACCCTAGTCGTGTGGAAGGCCTCTCTTGGCCAACCCGTCTCATGTCCAACATCTATCTCAAAGTGCGAGCCATGTAAAAAAGGTCAGGTCTGTGTCCGTCCGTTTGGCCGATTAGGTACTTTATATGGTCTATTAAAACTTTGTAATGGTAGTTCTGGGACTTGCTCTTTGAGCCCAGGCCTTTGATCTCTCTTGGCGACACTGCTTTTGGGGCTTTTGGTGGGGGGAGGGATGGCCCCTCTTCCTCTCCATTTGCTTAGTGCATTGCCGGGAGATGATGGCCCACCTCCTGGCTCGCCACGGCCACGGACGGATGGATTTCTCCGGCGACTCAGCGGCGCCGTCACTCCTCGTCAATCGCGGCAAGACGGCATCCACGCCGGCGGCCACCACGCGAGAGTCGGCGCCACCGACCACCACAGCATGCATGCATGCCTGCAAGGGCGATGCCCGTGACCTCGCCTCTGCTCACGTACGCTACCACCACACACACCGGACGTCAGTTCTTGCTAGAATAAAACGTTAATGCAAGATCATAGATGACATACCGAGGCACGATATTTGTTAACGAGATTCACCAATATGGCTACATCCCCGGAGCATGACTACGGGCGCTCCTCCCTAAGATACCGCAACACCTGCCGCCCGGGCGCCAGCACAAGCCGTCGGCTCCCCGTGTACCTGTTGCTATCAAGTCATCATGAGTTACAACGTGTGGTGCCCCTCCGTATATAAGAGGCCTGAGATACAAGTGTCCGACTCCTACACAACTCGTACCTAACCACACCAATTACAACTCCAAGTCCACGTAACCCCTTGCGTACATAATATATTCGACACAAATATAACAGTTCCTTCCTTACTTGCCACGCCGGCCGGGAATGGCGACGGCAGAATCATCATATCATCCATGCTGCCAGCTAGCGGGCATAGCGAGTAGCACGCGTGCATGCAACGTCTCGCTCCCCCGCACCGAACGGAACTATCGTCTCTCCGCTAGCTAGTTAGGTGGGCCTTGCACGCGCCACCTCCTCGCCTGCTAGCTGCTCTCGCGCGCCATCCCTCGCCTCCTCCCTCTCCGGTGACTCACTGCCGCCCGGCCGCCAACACGGAATCCTGGGTTCCGGCCACTTCACCCCTCTCCGCTCCGGCCCATGCATGCGCCGCCGCCGGCACCACCGACCACCCCAGCATGCGTGCATGCATGCAAGGGCAGTACCGCCGGTACCTCTCGTTAATCGACGTGAGCTCTGTTGCGGCCGGCATGCTCACGTACGCACGGTACCGCCGCTAGGTGGACATTGCGCGCTCGCCCGCGCCACCTCACCTCACCTCCTCCATCGCCTCGCCGGTATTCCATCTCTCCACTCCTCTCCTTCTCCTTCTCCCTGCCACGCCAGCGACGGCCACGGGAGAATCGCCGCCGGCCACCTCTGCCGACTCCCACCTCCGTCCTCTCTCCGGACCTCAGTACTACTCCCAATTAATTACTCTGGTCTCTGCTTCGCCGCCGGAAAGAACCATTTTTTTTTGTTTTCCCCGCCGACCGTGTTTCTCCTCTGTCGCTGCCGACGCACGCGAGTTTTCCCTGGAACTTAACATGTGCAACGTGGAGCGCTCTCCACCGCCCGTCTGCTGCTCTCTCACACTATTCGCTTGTCATAATATTTTCCTTTTTCTATTCGATGGTTGAGGGGGCTAAGTCATTAACCAGTCATAGTATACAAAACAAACACCAATAGCCTCCTCGTTTTAATTCCCAATTAAATCATCCCCTTTTCCTAAATTATTCTACAAGTGCAAATCTCTATCAAACAGTTTCATTTTCATGAAATCTCAACTTTTCATTCTAAAACTTTTATCAGTTACTACCTCCGTTTCATAATATGAGACGTTTTGAGTAGATGTCTTATATTTTGATACGGAGGAAGTATTCACGTCAATGTTGAGGATATCGCTTATCGTTATCGTCTTGGTTAGTTGGGGATTAGATATTAATCGGAAATCACCCGGTTAATCGAATTTATCGATCGACTATTAATCAGCCATTTTTTCAACCCCCAGGTTCCCAACACTCAAATATGCTATATTCAACACCAAAACAATATTGGACAGAAGTGATACCTTGATTCCTAGCTTTTGAATCCTGGTATAATGACGAACAAAATAGGAAAACAGTACATATTGCGCAACAAGGTTCACAAAACACAAATAAACATAGTTTTTTTTTTTGCAAACATAGTGCTACGAATAGGCCTGATTTTATCGATAGATTCCCGATAAATCGCTTGTCATAGCGATAAATCGGCACAAACGATAAATGGTGAAGAGAAGGCATAATCTTATCGGTCATCCAAAGAGTTGTGATAAATCGAACGATATATCACTGAATCGAAAGATTTTTTGAAGATTGATTCACATTATTGCTCCTTTTTGGAGATAACAACAAAAGTGACATCACAAAGAATTCTCTTGGACAAATGCAGGTTACTTTGAAACCGGTCAAGACGAGACATGTCACGCTAGCACTCCTTGCCCACCTTCGCCAAACTACCCGATCATCGAGACGCCCACACCAAGCCAATTGTAATTTGAACCAAACCACGTCAATCGAACACGCAAGATTGCCCCAGTGGCTAGCGCTTGACATGGCTAGTGACCATGTCGTATATGTTGGGTGCGAGCTCCTGAATACGCCAGCTCTGAACCCATATGTCCTCCCAAAACAAATTGGAGGAGCCATCTCCAACTTATGCACACGGTGCCGACATGAATAAAGCAAAGGACTAAGCAGGCACTGCAATTTGGAACTCCTTCCATGGCCTCAGATGATCCAATCTCTGCAGCCACGACCATTGGGCTTGAAGTGTGGTATTCAGCCACCTTAGATCCGGAATGCCAATTCCTCGGTGCAGAGTGAAAACACTCACAAGCTAGCTCTAACGTGTCACCCGTTAACACGACGCCACTGAGAATTATAACTAGTGTATTTATTTCGTAGTTGTTAGATGGCATGTACTTTGTTAATAAAAAATCCATTGCTTTGTAAATTAATATATGCATGATACATTAGACAATAAGATGATATATTATGTGTAGAGAAAAGTTCTCCCTATTATTTCATGTGCTCAGCCAACATTTACATACATGAATGGGACTCGCTCTATCAACTAAGTACTAAAATACACATATTTTTTGTTTCCTCCAGAGACTTATCTCCATCTTGTATTGGATGATGTTGTGTTCCTCAATTGCAGGATAGAGCCCTCACCGACAAGCCTATGGTATACCTCCAATTGTCATTGTATAGACTCGGCACAACTGTCAACTCGATCCCTCACTGTAGGCGACCAAGGGCTACCCGAGCATCACCCCCTGAGTTCCTCTTCATACTAGTCTTGCCAATAATTATTGGATTGTGTTTCATATTATAAGCCAAAATCGGTGCCAACAATTAAAAATCATTATTCTAGTTATTTTTATTGTCAATGGTTGGTTTAATTTTTTTCACGTATTTTAGTGCTTGCTATTTATTTTGAGCCATTTATATTCAATATAATTATTTATGTCTTCTTTGGTTATTTCACAGATATTAGATGT